TAAAGGCAATATGGAGGGACGAGTGGGTCCTCTGACACATTGGTGTACGCGTCTATGCCACTATACTAAATAGTGTACGACACTCCTTCCAATTATAATGCTGTATTTTCGCTGATGGGGGTTTAAACTATGTGGATCGGGAATGCATGAACAATCCCGGTTTGTATTGGCTGATTCATCCAGCGCACCGCACTAGAAGGTTATTTAGTTCTTCATTTTAAAGACGTCCTGTTTTTATCTCTCTAGACTATAGCTGAATTGTAAACAACCTTTGATCAAAATTGTGTGCTTCCTGTTACTTATATTTCGTTTTGCCCTGCGGTATGTCTCATTACAAGGAATCATGGCTGAGGAAACGCGGGTGAGTTAACTTGCGTTCATTCTATCACAGTGTTATTTTAATGAAAAACCTTTTTTGTCTACCAAATAATTATTTTCCTTGGATTTTTAAATTCAGTGATGATACCCATGTAAGCATTCAGGAAGTCAAGTTAGGCGAACGAAAGTTTCGTTTATTTCATCACCAGGCAAATACAATAATATAAGGGAGGGTAGAGTAAACAAAACATTTAAGCACCTACTTAGCAGTGATACGAGGAAAAAGTGGTAGAGGTGTAAGGGGATCAAAGGGGTCAGATTGTAGTCTTCGTTGGGGACTAGAGAGCGAAGGGAATGGGGGAGGAGGGGAAGGGGTCCGACAATTATTTCATGTCATCTCGTCGTCCTTGTCTCGCGTTTTGTTGGGAGGCGTGATTTTCCTCCTAATTACTACTGACTGGTTGCTTGAACTTTCGTTAACTCTATCCTCCCTTATATTATTGTATTTGCCTGATTATGAATTAATCGAAAACGCTCGTTCGGCTAACATGACTTCCTGAATTATTATCCTAAAAGTAATGCGAGCTGCTGTCTGTTTATATGCAGCTTTCACGCCTTGTGACACGATATACGTTAACCGATTAGCACAATAAAACCCCCTTACGAGTAAACTGACAATCTTCCATCTGCACTGGTAGCTTCGCAGTTGATGTACGGTCCGGAAAAGAACATAAGCACTGAAGAATATTGTCTTGGAAAAGGTGTGGAAAGGTCTTCATCGGCCCTCCGCCACACAGAATGGTTGCAGCATCAAAAGGTTTCACGTTCCTTTCAAACATTTTGTTAAACCTTGGTGAATTGACACTGCACCGATCTGTTTTGGGGCTCATTTGTTCCGTTCTGCCTTAGAGCTCACTCTCGAGTCCCACCAGCAGCCACACATTGGCAAGTATTATAGGCAAATACAAGGGGGACTAGAATGACAATTTCTGGCTTATTGATCGTCATCAGCCAGCCATACCTAGCTCCAGGTGGTGCACCTTAGTCTAAATTGTCTGTCAGTAAGAATGGACAGAGTCAACCGTGGTGCTGGTTTCCGCGCTATCCAATGCAGGCAACCATAGGATGGCTGCGGGTTCAGTGGGCTGAGCCAAGAACTGAAGCTACTTTTCTTTATCCACTCTACAGAGATGGTATAGAGATGATACAGAGAGTATAAAAAGGGATGAGATAGAGCTGATATAGAGTCAACGAGTGTGCCCAATTGGGCCATTTTAATTATCGCGCGCATATATTGGGCTATTTAAATTTGGCAGCTTCAACTCAAACGCGTTTATTAAATTTTCCAGGAAAGCAGATTTGCGTGTGTAAGTTAGTCTCGCATTTACTTAGTCCTTTACGCACTGACTGCAAATACCGCCCGCACAATAGAGTAAGAAATCGAATCGAGGTATCCTATACGAGAATTGGCTCATTTTTATTTGTTCAATCGAATGTTTTGGAAAAATGGCGTCCCCCAGAATTGTAGGCGATAGTTTGACCAATGCTCAATGGATTTCGCTATTAGAAAACCTTGCCGTGTAAAACAGTCCATCTTTTCATAATAAACTAAGCGCTTTGTTTAAAGGCCCTTACGTAAGTTCTCCGTGCATTTCGTAGTAAACTGCTCACAAGAGAGACAGATTGTGGTGGTGGTGGTGGTGGTGGTGGTGGTGGTCGGCTCGCAATTTGTGCTGGTAGACTCGATAAGGTCGACGATAAGATCCGTTTTATGCCAAAGGAATTTAGCTTCGCCGCGAATGTTCCTGTCTCTGCGAAGGACGTAAGGACAACCTGAATTATGTCCCAGCAACCGTACACGCATGGATACTGTTGATATTCCGACGCTGTGTGTTGCGCGAATAACACATAAAATGTTTACCATGTACAACAGGCTTTATGTATTCCTAGGTGGTAAATGATATATTTGTGAAGCCAGTCTGTGCTTTCCTACATTAAATAGTAAAATATGTCTGTTTCAACGTACAGTGACAAAGTATGGCATCGCACGCTGTAATATGCAAAGCAAAGTTAATGACTATACGTGTAATCGGAATTTAAGAAATATTTTTGGATGGAACCAAAGGGATGAAAATACAAATTTAAACTTGTTATGCTGCATGTACCTTACGAAACTTTACTTAAACTTCTGAACTGTGAGTTAGAAAGTGTTACAGGCAGTCAGTGACCCATCTAATACAAAGTTAACTAATATTTTTGGAATACATTTTGGAGTAGGAATGATTACGTACGTGGAATTGCAATATTTATTCTCTTTGAGCATAGTTCCAAGATTGTTCAGACAAAACAGGATACTGGCCTTTAAACGAACGTCTATTTGGCTATCTGGAAAAAACTTCACGCGATAAAACATGACTAAAATGTCATGCGTGTTTTTTATACAGGTTTCCCGTCCTTAGAAATTCAAATATATTTTATAGAAAACATCCACAATATTATTCTTAATTCCACTGACTTGATAGCTAACCACGTCTTCTGAAAATTTTCACCCGAAGAAAGGGTAGCTTTTGGTTTTAACAACGTTTTTCGCTGTGAATTCTTCCAAAGCTGTAAAATGTCCATTCAAATCGCATCGTAGCTGCTCAATTGCAAAATTTTATGAGCACTATATGATATCTTTCTGATTGCATACAGGAATGTATGATGTTATTTCCATGGAAAGTGTATTACGAATGTGGCCTGAAGACCTTAAACTCAAATACAACGGCAAATGGGGTTTACAACTACTGTGGAATTAGCGAATGTCTTAAGGATCTAAATATACCTTTTCCTTGGGGATACATTTTGAAGAAGACGTTATTTTCTATCAAAGTATTACAAGAAGAAACATAAATGCTGGTGCTTTTTGTGATTTATTTTTAATTTTAAGGACACCGAACACCCACAGAAAGAACACACAACATTTAAGTGGTCATTTTTCGTCGAAAAATCTTATTTACAGAGACCAAAAAGACATTTATTTCAAAAGTTGGCATCCTGATGTGTCTGAAATACCTAAGAAGTGTGCTCCAAGAAAAATATTACGACTTTGATTGAGTAATCACTACTAATCTAAAACGCATTTTGCAATTTTGGATAACATTGTAAAAGTTCAGCCACTCGTACAACATAACCCCACGAATCACCCCTACCTGGGTTCCGGCTTTTAACTTTTCGTCCTGAAAGCCACCTGCAAAATCACAGTCGCCATGAATGGAGATTTAAGCAGCAGAAATAGTTCCATTTATTTTCGACCTCCCTAACAATAGACATGAAAGAAGTGTTCGTTCATCTAGGGGATAATGCTGAAACTGACCTTTCTTTGTGTTTGCGTTTAATGTTTCCAAACTATAGTCTTTATAGTTTCTGCTTGAGAAAATAATGCACTCCTCCGGGCTTCCATGTAGATCTTATATAGGCTCCATAAAATGGTAGAATAATTAAATAGCATACTTTGTAGACACTGTCACAGAACGGACAGACACAATGTTATTTCAATAAGCAGTCCACGGTCTTAAGACACCCATAATCGCGAAATAGTTCAAACTTCAAGGACAAATCATATTACTTAAGTAATAATTTTCAGCGGGCGTATTTTGCAGACAGCCAGATAAATGTGTATTCAAATTATGGTCTCCTGGCTAGATGAAGGTAAGCTAGAATCATACTGAAAAGAAGATGCGATCGGTGGGACATTTTTATTCGCCTGACGTTTCGACATCCATCGCGGATTCTTCATCAGAATCATACTGCACGTTTACCCTATATAACCACTTCAAATTGAAGACCTATTTCAGAGTTTTGGTTAATGTTTTGGGAGTCACTTCAACAGCTATAATTTATATCCTCAGCAAACAACTATTCAGACAAGTGTTTGCCAAAGGGATTAAGCCTATTAAAACAAGCGTGCCTAATTTAACATTCGTCAGCGACCAACGTCATCTCATATTTACGCACTGACTTACCCTAACTTTGAAACTGAATCCAGTGGCTCACTGCATATTTCTAATTCATCCTCCAGTCAACTTCAACGATCGGGCTCGCTCACTGTAGACTAAAATAAAAATATGAGAATTTACGTAATAGTGCTGTGCGTCAGCAAACCATTCCAAACTTATGCATCTCCTTCCTTAAAAATTGCTATGGGGCTCCAAGACACGTAGCTGCGATCGCTTATATTCTACCTCATTTGTCCTGAGATGGCAATTCGCAACATCTACGTCGATAAGCCCGTTGATGCGTGACCATTGGAATGGATCGTCTCATGTAGTTGACGGCCTGTCATGAAGTTCCAACAACAATCCGCGCCGGAAACAGTATACCCTACGTCTGTATGGTCACCTATTCCGAGTGACCCCGTCTTTTATTGATATTTTTTATGCAGCATGCAACAGACTGCACGGAAGATCTCTGAGATCACAAAAATCGACCCTTTTTCTTCTGGCCCAAATGCTCAGCCTACTGACTAACCTTCAAATGATTGAACTCTTTTTTTAGGTATCGCAAGAAACAAAAAAATTGCTTGCTGAGATTACCGCTTTGGAGCCGGATGTTAAAAAGGCAGAATCTGGCAAGTACTGACTTTATTCTATCTAAACCTCACCAATTACTGCAATCTACCGCTCCCACCAGCTCTGGCAGCATAATAAAGCACCGAGGTTGCATCCCATGAGTCCATCTTTTTTT